TTCAGAGTACCTCTGGCACCATTTGGTTCTTCCCACTTTGACATTCAAGTTCCGTCAAATGCAGATGTGACCTGAAATTGGTTGACAGCAATGCCTTTAAAAGAATTTCATTATCAACAATGGGATCATAAAGAAATCCACAAGACACGTGTCATGTATTAATTATCAATAAAATTGAACTAATAGCATGAACTGGTCAATGCAACTTACAATTCCAAAAGGAAGCTCCTCCCCACTAGCAAGGACCAAACCGGAGTATATTCTGTTTAATTTTTGAAGTGGCCAAGAGAGAGAATTTTTATTGAAGTTGTTGCACATATTGACATTATGGATCACATCATCCAGAGCATGGAACAAAACAGGCAATGCTATGGAGGTTCTAACAGGATCAGCAGCCAAATAAATGTCAACCCTTCCACTGGCATCTAGCTCACTATTCAGGGAAAGGGCATCAAACAATTGATCAAAAGAAGGCAGCATCTGAAGGAAAAGATGCTGTGTATCATTTGAAACAGGGTTTATAGAAGTTCTCCTCGTTCTAAAAGGGGATTCTTCAGATTGATTAACATTTGTTTAAAAAACAGTAGGACTTCAACAGCTCTAGATTTAGAACAAGATTTCTCGACAAACCGAGAAATGATTGGACAAAATGCATTGTAGATCTTTGTCACATGCTCATCAATGCATTTACGGGCTGGACAACAAGAAGAACTTGGAAAGCAAATCTCGTCAGAACCAAATTCTGATCTTGACATGCGCCATTCCTTGTCACCACTTTGTCTTCCAGGTAACGAGATTGAAGCATCATCTTTAGAGTGCAACTCTCTCTCAAGTGCTTCAGCTTCATTCCTATCTTGATCCTCTAGGGCAGAAATCACTTGAGATGCAAAACTCTGTCGGCATTCTCTTCTTATGTTCGAGAGAATAATAGACAGGATGGGCTCCATAGTAATGTTTCTCCGAGACAGAACCTTTAACATGAAAATATTATTGCGCAGTCAAAACTCACATAGTAGCATATTTTTTAATGTGAAGTGATCATTAAAAAATTTATAAGACTACGAAGTGATCCTTTAAATATTTATAAGACTACCTCATGCCACTTTCTAGTGTAACGTTTAGTGACGTCATACACTCCATCTTTTGCAAAAGCAATTACATAATTCAAATTCTTTTTCCACCTTCAAAGAAAAAAAACATTTGCAAACAACATAGATGAAAGTCAAAAAGTTAATTCAACTATGAAGCATCAGGTTGAAAAAAACAATTCCAAAACTATATAGATGATGTGTAGGTGAAAGTACCCTTTCTCATATAGCAAAGGATTGTCTTATATTCCTTCACAAGGATCAAGATGCATCCATCTATGAAATTTGAACCCACCATAAGAATTTGTGGATGCACATATAGAACATAACAAATAGCAGCAGCAGCGTGAATAAAATATTTACCTTCCTAGAACAGGTGACATGCACTCTGTCCAAACATGATCTGTGAAATCCATGACCTGGAACAAATAGAAAGTGCGTCAATGAAAACATTTTTCTCTCAACCTCAGATTCTAATTTCTGGAAATTACATGAAGTTTAGTTTTTTTAATTTTTTTTAAATATCAACTAAATCTATTCTTGTAGAGAAACTTAAACGAACATTACCTGGTGAGATTTAATACTCAATTTTAACATAGAACCATTAATTTCCTGAATTTCAAATATGAACTTTTGCCAATTTCACCAAATATTCAGATTTTTTAGCCAATTTCTTTCTATCTGGTGATTATTAAAGAAGGAAACAAAAATAAACAAGTTTGCCTAATTCTTATTTATCCTTTTGTATTAGTTATTTTCCCCACAACTGAGTGGAGGCGCAGAATAAACATATCAATAGAAATAGAAGATTTTATGCACATAAAAGTTTCTCTCACCAATCAGAGCAAGCCATGAGATTAATTCTATATTCACAAAAGAGAACGAAAAGAAAAGCGCACCGTGGAGCAGTTTTCCCATCCTTGTCATCATCAATAAGTGAAGCAGAAGCAGAATTTTGACCATTGGTGAGTGGGCCAGCGGTAATAGCTTTTACTCTAGGAATTCGTATTTTTTCTTTAGAACTGTGTGCAGCAGTACTAATACCCATATTCCGCCATTTGTCCTGATCATGTAAATAGGCATGAAACTAGTAAATAGCATGCTGGTGTAAATGAAAATCATGCAATAGAAAACATGAGCAAACTAATGATAATTCCTGTTTCAATAAAAAAAGACAAGAAATACAGAAATTACATGGATTAGCAGCTGCAACTAAAACATTCACATACTGGTAAAAGAAACAGACAGAATCAGATGCAAATAAAACCATCATCATAGTAACAAATGAAGCAGAGAGTTGATGTGGCAACATCAACCTCATAAAGATCTTGAATATGTTAAAGAAAACTTGCACAAGCATCATCTTTACCACACAAGATGATTAATAATCCACTAACTACAAACTGAAATCCACCTAAAAAGGGCCCACAGCATAATGGGTCGTGTGAGGAAATATGGACCAAGAAAGGGCCCACAGCAGAACCTCGCAATCAGCCCAATATCACTTCCAGTGCCCAGTCCACCAGCACTCTGCAAACAGAAATGGGTCTAGGCCCAAAAAGAAAAAGGAAATGCCAATTTGTACTTATCTGCCATTTGTCCTGATCATGTAAATAGGCATGAAACTAGTAAATAGCATGCTGGTGTAAATGAAAATCATGCAATAGAAAACATGAGCAAACTAATGATAATTCCTGTTTCAATAAAAAAAGACAAGAAATACAGAAATTACATGGATTCACAGCTGCAACTAAAACATTCACATACTGGTAAAAGAAACAGACAGAATCAGATGCAAATAAAACCATCATCATAGTAGCAAATGAAGCAGAGAGTTGATGTGGCAACATCAACCTCATAAAGATCTTGAATATGTTAAAGAAAACTTGCACAAGCATCATCTTTACCACACAAGATGATTAATAATCCACTAACTACAAACTGAAATCCACCTAAAAAGGGCCCACAGCATAATGGGTCGTGTGAGGAAATATGGACCAAGAAAGGGCCCACAGTAGAACCTCGCAATCAGCCCAATATCACTTCCAGTGCCCAGTCCACCAGCACTCTGCAAACAGAAATGGGTCTAGGCCAAAAAAGAAAAAGCTAAAAATAAGGTTACATATCTTTCAATGTACTTAACCAGATATTTTTCAAAATAATACAAGAAGAAAATGGAAATTTGAATTACAAGCTACAATGACCATATATGGTTTTTATGAATGGTCTACTACTCAATGTGAGTTTAAAATTTTCTTCAACAAGATTGTTAAGAATTGATTTTGCCAAGATTGAACTCACTTTAAGAATGGTTAATCAATCATGTCCATTGCATTGCTTATTTGAATTATCTGAGAATGATGATCCGTTTTAGAAGATGGTGTTTTGTGTAGTTGATGCTGGTTTACTATTTACTTGGGTGACATTTGTTCTTTATTGAGAATATGATTGATAATCTAGTCAAACCTTTGGCAATTAAATTGTGCAAATGTTCATGAACAATTGTTGTTTTCTTGTCTTTCCGTGCATATTTCTTCTACAAGGCATCTCATGACATGGATACACGATTTGGGATTAACAAAGAGCAAAGCGATTCTACTACTAAAGCATGGCTTGAGAAGATGAAAACCCTATTTATCAGAAAGGGTTGTGGATTCTCCTCACGGAGTGTTATTACAGGTGATGCATATAAGGGAGTCAATGAGATTGGACTGCCTTTTGAAATTGCTCAACGGATAACATTTGAGGAGAGAGTTACTCAATATAACATGCAGTATCTGCAGAAGCTGGTTGATGAAAAGTTGTGTTTAACTTATAGGGATGGTTTGTCAACCTACTCGCTGAGGGAAGGTTCGAAGGGGCATACTTTTCTAAGACCTGGTCAAGTGGTACATCGACGGATAATGGATGGGGCTATTGTTTTCATCAATAGACCTCCGACAATGCATAAACATTCCCTGCAAGCTTTGTCGGTTTATGTTCACGATGACCATACAGTGAAGATCAACCCTCTTATATGTGGGCCACTTAGTGCTGATTTTGATGGTGACTGTGTCCATATATTTTATCCTCAATCCCTTGCTGCAAAATCAGAGGTTTTGGAACTGCTCTCTGTAGAGAAACAGTTGCTTAGTTCTCATAGTGCAACTAACGAATGTATTTTGGATTCTTTTTAACTCTAAAATTAGACATTAACCATACAGAGGGAAACATAAAACTTAAACCTTCATCTTCGCAATATAGAGTAAACTCATTCCCCATGTAGTGTACACAACCACAGACCAACAAGAAAATAATAAAACAAAAATAACATGTGATTTTTGGCAACGCAAAATATACATATTAGCCATAATGAGATACACAAAACTTTTGTGACTGATAAACACACAAATTTCATCAACAAAATTGTTAGTTATATTCTAACACAAGCACAAATCACTAGTCCCACATAAATCAATTTATAAAAATCTTCTTCTAACAAGAAAACTATTATTTATATATATGTGTACGTACCTTATCGGGATGAAGATAGACTTTGTCTCTGAAGAAAAGAATAACACTGGCCTCATCAAGAACACGGGTGAAAGCAGCGACTGAGTGTTCCTGAAAATCAAATAATTGTAGTGTTTCAAATAATTCATGTACAATTACAGATTCTCACTGAAAACACAATAACTGAAATACATGGAGTGACAAATACTAAAAAATGATTAATCAAAGATCCTAAATTTACTATATATACATACTTCCAAATCAAATGTTGGGCCTGTGCAGATCCAAATTGCTTATGCTCTTCATAAAGCCCACAGAAGGCCCACACCCTGTAACACTGTTACTGCCCCTCTTATTGTTCTAAATCAAAACCCTGTGCATGCCTTCCTCTTTTCCCAGACCTATCCCAGTTACTCTTAGGTCTCCCACTTCATAGCACGTTTCATTAACTCCGACAATGGTTTCCTACCAATCCTGCAGTATCTCATGCACATCATAGACAGATAGCACTTCTCTCCCCAGCCACCAACGCCATTGATTTATTACAAGCACTTGGCAAGTACTCCTATCACCCTCAGCATGACAAGCTTAATTTACCTTCGAGAATAGTTTTGTTCAATCGTTCTATGTGTCAAGTCTGCATGAAACTATGAGGCATGGAAACTTGCCTTCTATGGCTAGGGAAATTGGAGGCCAAATAGTACCAAGCAAGCATCATAGAGGACAAAAGACCTCTCACCTTGGTGGTGGGCAGAGATGAACCGACAAAGGGGCTGGTAGGGGCAGTGTCAACCCAAACCAAAAAACTCATTAAATATTATAATATGGCCCATGTCCATGTTCATGCTCATGCTTCTTAGCTAACAGTGATGGTAACTAAAAAAAAAAAGCATGCAGCACTGAGCATCGTTGCCCTAGCTCCTTATGGTACCCTCTATACATTGTTTACCCATTTTTAAAGCTCTACCTTCTTCAGCAACGACAAACCCATTCTGCCAAACCTACCCACTTGACCATTCCATATGAAAGACATTGTACACCTACAAGATCCCTCATCCACCTTCACTCATATTCTGTCCTCTGCTGCCCTTTCTTCACCCTCCCAAAAAGATTTTTGGCAGCCCATCCTTCAGCTTCTAACCTCCCAATGAACTCCTTGAGCATTTCCCCCACCACAAGCCAACCACCTCCACCTACATCTCTGGATTCTTAAGCAAACTCTACCTCCCTTTCTCAATAAATGGCCACTTCCAAAAATTTCCCTAACATTACTGACAAGGCTTTGGCAAATGATGCATCTGCTGTCCATTACAGGCCACCAGAATGTCCGGAACACTAACCCATCTACAGCTCTCTGTGAGACATCACACATCATCTAGTACAAACATCACAACTCAACCTATGTTATCTTTATAAAGCAGCTTGCTTGACTATTGTTGTCTTCGAGAACATAGATGGTATTCCCCTGGTCTTTGAAGATACTCTGTCTTACCGTGGAAATACAGCACATTACTATATTTTTACATCATCTGTTAATAAGCACTCACCATTAGTGATGCTTCTAAGAGCTCATTTTTTTCTTTCATTTTTGAGGTTTATTTATTTAATTTCCCATCCACCACACATGGCATTTTCCAGCAAATCTTACACCTTCCTCCTTTAACAGCAATGGTAATATTTAAACAAGCTAAAATGGAAAACATTCAGTAGTGGAAGTCATATTACCTGTTTAAGCTGAAATACTGTAATGCTGAAGTGTAAATTTCCCACATACAGTTTTCTATCAACTGCAATATAGGATCCTACGACTGAACCACCACCAGAAGCATTAGTTTGAACAAGGTTCTTTTCAGCTTCTGATGGTTTAACCATTAAAGGTTGTCCGAAAAGTAGGTGGCCAGAGAGAGCTATAGCCATTGGCATGGACATTGCATCATAAAATTCAATATACCTGAAGTATCACCCAAGGACTCACAATAAGTTTGCCAGAACATATGAGACAAAAATACAATTATAACTTACGAAGCATGTATCTATAGAAGGAAGGAAATCAAAAACTCTTTAATGTGCATATATGCCGAGCTGAATTTCTTCTCTTGTATCTAAACCTCGCAAAACACAACATGTCAGCTAATCATGATAAAATACAAACTGAGATAATCAAACATGCCAATGATTCACAAAAAAAAATTAAAAAATTAAGAGACTCGGACAGAATAGAAGGACGAAAACCAAGGGTTACAGCTACCCAAAAAAATCACATTAGTTCAATAAAATAAGGTAACTTTGTCAGGCCAGATTAATAAGTCCGCAAAGCATGATAGCAGTAAACATTGTCGTACAAATTTCCTTCATAATGGTTTGGAAGAATTTAACGACATGACCTCCAGAGTTGGGATATAGAAGCATGCAAAAGACCAAGTACTACCTTCTAACCACATAGGCAAATTAAAGAGTTCAACCAACTTCTTTATCAATCAACCAAAAAGGTAAAATCAACTTAAATCAACTAAACTAGATAAATTCCTAGGGAGTTTTTTCTCCAACCAGGAAAGGATTATATCAATCAACATAATCTGCCTAGGTAAACATGATATGGGCTTCTAACATAAAGAAACAACAAACTTAATAGTGAATTGTGGAGAAAACACCTCAGGGCAAACCACCAATTGACAGCTCTATATATCTTCCAACTCCCACAAGCAATATTGATGCCAGAACAAAGACAGATCAATGACCAAGACACTCACAAGAATTGTGCCATATTTATTCTTAAAGAATGACTGCCATGCCACCAAATAAACTCAACTGGATCTAATGTGAAATTCCAGTGCAGAGTTAGAACAACTATAAATTGCAGGAATCGAACAAGGAGAACACAAATACTGTTTGGTTTTGTCATTGGATGAAAACAGTAATGGTATACAGTGGGAAAAGAAAAGAAAAGAACAGAAAAGAAAGGAGAAACTTAGGTTCATTTCATCAACCTTGAGAACGCAGCATGAATTGTTTAAACATGAGTGCAAAGTAATCCCACCATCCTTCATCATGGATTCATTATCGCAATGCTAGTGAATTTAAGAATAAAGTTATGTTTAATTTTTAAAAAGAATCAACAGTTACTTTCCGACAACACTACACATAAATGAGATACTTTTTAGTAGAAACAAACTTACCCAACTCCTTTCGAATGTCTTCAATTCCGGTCCATGATTAGACGAACATCCCTCACCTGGATATGAAACGGTGAATGATGTAACTAGAAAAAAGGAACCTTTGCCTTAGAGAGAGCCCCTCTCTATATGCCTCTTGTAAAGCTTACAAGACAAGCTTTGCAAGAGGGAGATCCCTCCATACACGTGTATGGAGGGGAGCAAAAGCAATACAGCTGTCTAAAAATATCTGCAAAAGCAGATGAACAGCAATCGGCCGGCCAAAATGCCATCTTGGCCAAAAAGAGTGCCGGTCGGCAACAAATATTGCTGACCGGCAAAAAATAGTGCCGGCCGGCAAAAAATAGTGCCGGCCGGCAAACTATATTGCCGGTGGCAGCAAAAACCAGCCGGTGGCATCTAGCCACTGCCGGTGGTGGGTGGGGATGGTCTACAAGCCCCACCCTGCCTCTCAAAGGCAAGATGCAAGTGTTTGGTGCAAAACCAGACACTAAACGGTCGAATTCGGGGATCCTGAGGCATGGCGCGCGAGCCGAGACCTCCGGGAACTCCAAACGAACACAAACATGGATAATCACCGAGTGTTCAAATGGTGACGTCCAAGTCTTGAGGACGGTCAAAAATGGGGTGTCTACAACTGTGCATCTGCTTTTGCAGATATTTTAAGACAGCTATCTTGCTTTTTGCTCCCCTGGGATCTCCCTCTTATGAAGTTTGTCTTGTAAGCTTTACAAGACAAAAGGCTCTATAAGAGAGGGTCTTCCCTCTTGGCCTTAAGGTTAGAGACTTGAGATATTTTGGGGAGCTTAGACAGCCATTTTTAGGGTTTGAGTTCTAGGGTTAGGGTTTGATACACATTATCTCTCTCTTTTTCCCTCTTGTGTGTGTTAAAGTGTGTTTGTGTCTTATTATTGCACACAAACACATTGTGTTTCACCTTCACTTAGCTACTGAGGTTCTAAGGGACTGATTTTGGTGTTTTGGTGTTGGATTCAAGTCAAGGAGGGCCATTGGAGCATCACTTGTAAAGGGGTCTTCAAGGGTGAGAATCTAGTCCCATTATTCTCCATTTTTGCATTGATTTTCTACCTATCTTAGAGCTGTTTTTGTGCTTATTGTATAATACAAAAAAGTTCTGTTTTTTAGCCCTCTTGGTTGTTTATTAAGAGTGTTTTGTGGTTTTAGGATGTTTGACCCCTCTTAGGCCTTGAAAGGCCTCATTTTGTGCTATTTTGTACAAGTTTCGAGACTTTGGTGTTTGGGCCTCTTCACCACTGAAATCTTGAGGGATTTCAGTGGTGAAGATGGTGCCTTGAAGTCTCCAAAAGGGGAGGGCCACCCCCTCTCCTTGTTGTCCTTGAAATGGACCATTTTTGGCCTCTTGAGGGAGCATCATGTTAAAGTGTGTATTGACCATGTCTTAGCTGCTTTCCATGCTTAATATGTTGTAATATACCTCTGTTTTGTATTGGTTTTGGTACACCATGCATGCTTAGAATACCTACCATGTAATGCCTTGTATTGCCTTAATATGCCTTAGGTTGTTAGCCCTTGTTAGAGCATGTTTTAGGCTTAGTCTTGTGAAGGTTTTGTGCATATTTTGCCATGTTTTAAGTCTGTCCATAGTTGTTTGGGTCGGATTTGGCATGCTTAGTATAGCCCCTTTCCATTCCGGCTTGTTGGCCTTAAGTGTATGAATGTATAGCATGACATCTTTGCATTGATTTGGTGATTTTGAACCATCTACCATGTCATTTCAGTCCCATTTCCATGCCTATATGTTTGCCTAGGATGCATCTTTAATGCTTTGAAAGCTTGTGTAGTATGCTCCATGTTTTGGCCATTATGCATGCCTTTGAATTGAGCCACTTAGATGCCATCTAGGGAGTCCCCTTTGCATGGTCTAGGTCTGCCTTGAACCTATTTTAAGTCCTCTTAGCCTTGTGAGGCTTGGTTGGCTTAGCCATGGTTCAAGCCCCTTTGACTTGCTTCAAGTACTTGGACCATTTGTATGCTAATGTTTAGCCTATCTTGTTGCTTGGTTTGACACCATCTTAACATGATTTTCAATGCTTACTTTGCATGCCATTAGTCCATATTATGCCTCTTTCAAGTGTGCTTGAGAGTTGCCCTTTTCATGCTTAAGTGTTGGTCCTTGTGTGCATGCATGTTTGTATGCCATTTAGCCCTCATTTTATAGCACTTTGGCCACTGTTTTAGGCCTATTTGGAGTTGCCTAAACCATGTATAAGTCCATCTTTTCATCCATTTGCATTGCCACATGTTTGCTTGTATGCTTGCATAAATGTCTTGCCATGCCATGTTGCATCCTTAGCTTGTATGTCTAGGTTGCATTGCATCTTACATGCATGCCTTGTTCCTTGACTTGATGATAGGAATTGGGCCTTGGTTTGTTTGATTGGTTTGCATTTCATTTGACATGAAAATTGCATACTTGATTCTTTGGGCCATCATGCATGAAAATGCGTGATTGGTGGTCCGAGAATCGAGACACATGCCCCTTTGAGTCATTACCATGATAAGGGACATGATTGGTGCATATATGCCTTGAATTGTGCTGCCATGCTTTGCCTTGCCCTCTGTTGCTGTCAATTGCAGATTCTGCAGGAACACTTTGCCGACCGGCAGTGTTCAATGCCGACCGGCAATACTCTCTCTGCCGATAGCTTCATTTTGTGGCGGTGGCCACATCCCACTGCCGGTGGCAATTCCATTCAGCCGGTGGTGTTCCCCGATGTCCAAGGAAGCAGTCCTGAGGTTTTGACAGCCTCCAGAGGAGTGAAGGAAGGAAAACAGAGGCAGCCTATGCATGGCGGTGCCTTTCCGAGCGGGATCAAACATGCATTGCATCAGGCTCTCCTCCCGAGGCGGTTTACTGTTTTTCTAGCTTTAGTTAATTTGCTTAGTTGATTAGGCAATTTGTAATATTTAATTAGCTTGCGTAGTTAATTAATTTGTATTATTTATTTGGTCTCTCCGAGCGAGGGCAAATCTGTAATAAGTGTGTGTGAGTGGTGTGTATGTCTTCTAATCCCCACTTCTTTCTCCCTTTTACTTACCTGCTTTGTTGGTTAGTATTAGGGCACGTTTAATTTAGCATACCTTATGCTATGCATACGTGCATTCATGCATTTGTGTTGCATGCATTAGGCTCGGTACATCACGCTAACTGCATTTGTACTTCAATTCAAGAATTGAATATGTGATAGTTTATCGCATTTCATATGCCATGCTTAGGTTAGCCGAGCCTATCTAATTGCATCCTGTATGCGTTGCATTAGGCAATTTAACATGAACTAGGACACACATGTTTGCTAACTAGTTTATTGTTTTGGCACGGAGTACTATGTAAGTATTTATGCTTTAGCATCTCACATGCGTGTGAATGTTAACATAACAGTATGCTTGCCATGCGGCTAAATGCTTATGTGTTAAACTGTTTGAATGCCTGTGGGTGAAGGTTGGATTGTTTGAGTTGGGAAAACTCGTTGAAATCCGTATTTTAGCCTACTTGCGAGTAGCAAACCCCAAAGCGCTTTTCAAAACAAACGGATATGCAATGCTTATTTCCAAATTAGGCAATCTAGTCTATACTTATTTGCTGCGCGCATAAGATAGTAACGCTAGGCTAATAATTGGTTTAAGAACACATAACGTTTTCAATCGGATATCATGGTTAGTAGAGGCCGGTCTTCGGACCCGGCGAAAGGGGGTGCTCATAGCTGACCTTCCCCGATGGTACCCAAGCTCCCGAGCTGAGACAACTCCGGTGATGACGGACATGTGGCCTTCGGCACCGAGTCAGGGTTTCCTAAATTCTCCCATTTTAAAATTTTTAGGTGGCGACTCTGTATCTGGCAAAGCAGTCCATGTTTGGCACTGTAACAGGGCCGCAGGGGACCTCGCTACAGCTCGGACTCGACTTTCGTCAGTCGCGGTTCTAAGTCTGAACCAAAGAGTCCAAATCCGGCAAATCGTTTATGAGAAAAACAGATTTTTGAAAGAAGTGCCAAACATGGACTGCTTTGCCAGATACAGTGACACAAATTGAGTCCGAACTGTAGCGAGGTCCCCCGCGGACTTATTACAGTTTCTGGCGACTCTGCTGGGGATTTAGAGAGCTTGACTCGAACTCGTGATATCCTGTTTTGATTACACTTATGTGGTTCTTTGCATTGCATATGCATTGGTGCGCCTAAGACACCGTGTTTGCCATCTGCCACTCCTGAACGGTTTGCCGGAGGCTTGTCTTGTCAAGGCATGACCATAAGGCTGACCGGTTATGGGCTCTGACAGTATGGGAACACAAACCCCGGTTTTACCGGGGCACCCTTTTCGACCATTCGACCTAGTGCATATTCGGATCCATAGTGACCATTCCAAGTTAGGACAGGTTGCTTACCTAATTATAGGTTGTTTGAAACTGCTGTGTGCGTAGCGAAACCCTAGCTCCTGACAAAATAGGACAGGGAAACCCTACCCCAACATAGGGGTGTTTTGGCTCTCTTTACTTGCTATGTGCTTTTAGAGTGTATCTCTACAGGAATGTACATGCCAGTTTGCAAGTTTGAGTATCAGGCCCGAGGGCACCAGTATCAGTGTTGCCAAGAAATCTGTTATATCTGCGGGTATCAGTTCAGTTTTGGGGACAGTAATTTCTGGGGAACAGTGATCAGTAATGGAGTGCAGTTGTTCGGCTACACCTGTGTTTGATCCGTTTTGGGGCTGAAATGCTGTTTGTTTTTCCTTTCAGTTCAGAGAGTTCAGAGAGCTGGTACAGGATAGCCAGTGTTCCCCCTTGCTGAGGCAGGATTTATGGCGGCACAGAATTCAGAAGAAATCGTGGTTATGGCGGCTGCATTGGAGCAGGGGACCGCTCTGCAGAGTGAGGCCAACACTGATGTGTCACATCCACCCAGGTCGCCTGTTGTGCACCCGGTCTGGGCACCCCAGTTATACCAGGCTCGCGAGCCTACTACATTTGAGCTAATGGGGATGATAGGTGATCTCCAAAGGTCTGTGGCGGATCTCACCTACG